ACACGAATACAGAGCAAAACGTTATGACGTATCTACCACACAATGGTAGGAATGTGTGACAAAGGTTTTGCATAGCATTTACACTACTGTAGACAGAATAGAAAAGGACTGCTTTGCAATATACAGTATGTCTACATATACATACATGAGAGAATACAGAATTCAACTGATGCCAGATGTGCGCGTACATCATTCAATTTACAACAGGGTGGAGCATTCAGAATTTGATTGAGAATGCTTTTTACATTCCAATTCAATTCCTGAATTTTAATTGAGACAGCAAACAGGATTGAACTGAATTGAAGTACAACTGACATAAACAAAATGCAGTTAAGTGTAACTAGAAAAGGAAGGTTTGTCAAGACAAACTTTACATTATGGCTTGACAAAGCCTTGTAAATTTAATGTGAAATTTTGAAGTAGAAAAACTGTAAATAAATAAAGAAAAATAAATACAATAAATAATAATATTTATTAAAATAAATAAATTAAATAATGTTTTTTTGTAAAAATTTACTCTTTTACTTAGCCTATAACTTCGGGGGGGAATTACACTAGGTATTTTTTTTTTTTTTTTAATGCCACCTGCACAATTTTGTAAAAAATGTATATACACATCCTCATATTAATAAATAAACTTACTTTTTATGTGTCAGGGTGGAAGAACGCTTAATTTCCCATAATTAAATTTATTTAGAACTGCAATTGAGACCAATACAATTAATAATTGTAATTCAACTTCCTGTAGTGCATCATTAATTCAATTTAAATTCACACTAATGAATTCTTAAATTCCATTTTCTTTTAAGAGTTTAATACAACTTTTGCTCTTATATAAAGTGAATCTAGCCTGATTTTTCGCTGTGTCCTCCAAATAAAAAGTGAAAAAGACATGAAGTGCCTTTAATTTGTACAGTATTTCATTGACCGGCTTATCTAAAAATACCATTACCAGATGGCTATTTAATACATTAACCATTTGCACACTGGTTTTTCAGGAAAAAATGCCTACATTATGATCTACACATACCAAGATGTAAGATGTCGGTCATTCCGCCCACCCATAATGATTTTTTCCAGTATTGGCGGCTGTTCAGTGTGAACCATATGAGCGTGTGTGTGTGTGTGTGTGTGTGTGTTCGTTTGTGCGCTAATGTCCTTGTTACCTTCCTTTTCAAAGCGTCTCTCACCGCATCAGCATTCATAATATCACCTCTCATTAACACAGAAAAATTACTGACAGAGGGAAAGAGAGGCAGAGATAAAGAATGAGAGGAGAGAGAGATGCATAGCAAAAGAGAGAGGCATGAAGAGACTCTTCATTTCACCTCCTGCAATCACTTCATCCATATAAAGAGCCTCCGAATCTCACTCCCATATGGATCCCACAGCTGAGACCCTCCGAACACACTTATGGACAGGTGCTTCGTTTCCAGATCTCAGTCTCTCCGGTGTGGATTACACAACACATGCACGCTACGCACAGGCTGCATCCCAATTGGCATACTTTGACTGCATTCTAAAGCTATGCACATCACTGCTGAAGTGTACAGCAGTATTGGGACTCACTACAAGAAGACTGTAACCACGTATTCAGGATTTAGGAACCAAATGTGCTCTTTTATGTATCTGATATTTAAAACCTGCAAAATGGGATTCCTCTGTGTTTAAGGTGGTTATTATGGAAGCACATTTCTGTCATGGGATAAAAAATAATAATAATTGTGAAAAACACTTTTTCTCACAATTCAGACTTTTTTTTTTATTTTGGGTTTACATTTTCCAATTCGGCCCCCCCCCCCCCCCCCTCTCAAATAAAAAAAAAAATAAG